GAGGGAGGGAGTGGGGAGGGCACTGGGCAAAGCCCACAGGCTGTCACGGCCTTGCGGCTGCGTGGCCAGGCCAGACATCTGCTCCTGGAAAGGGGCCAGGAGCCAGAGGTTAGAGGGGCGTGCCCTCAGAGGAGCAGGGCCTCCCCGGGCCAGGGCAGGCGCAGGGACGACGCTCTGCAGGCCCCAGAGCTATTTTCCGCCCTTTATCACCCATCTGTCACGAGCTGGCCCCAGAGCAGAGGGCACTCGTGTTACACACTGTCCCTGCCAGAGGCCCCGCAGCCTCCGGCTCCCACGCAGGGCCCCGCCCTCCACTGTCTGGCCCAGGAGGGGGCTCTGGGAAGGCAGAGGCCTGTGGGGGGACGCAAAGGGTGGGGGGCAGCCCTGAGAGCAGCCTGCGCCCGCTGAGCGTGCCTGAGCCACACCCTCCTTCCATGTCATCGGTGGGGAAACTGAGGCCCAGAGCAGTCTTCCGTTGACCGAGGTCCCTGAACCAAAGAAGGACGGAGTCCAGGACTCAAGCCAGGCCTGGGGGTCAGCACAGACCCCACTGCCATGCTTAAGAGGAAGCTGGAGCCTGGGCAACACTGACGGGTGGGGAAGGTGGGGCGGCAGGCCACCTGGAGCCGGCAGGGCACAGCCCAGGCAGAGGCGCCCAGCCGGGGAAGGCGCCGTGCTCCCGAGAGATGTCGGGGGAAGGGGACATCCCACAGGAAGTCCTCACTGTGCACACACGGGATGGAACTGCCCCAGGTGTACAAAGTCACACCCGCTCTCTGAGTAACACTAGCAGTGGCTGATGTCACCGAGCACAGGCTCTGTCCCAGGCTCCGTCCTGAGCCCGCTACACACGCCACCTCACTTGCCCTCACAAGAGCCCACGAGGGGGTTGCTGTTATTATTCCCACTTTACGGTTGGGGGGACTGAGGCACAGAGACGTCAGAGACCTGCCCAAGGCCACACATGGTCACACGAGGCACATGCTGAGGACATCGGGCTGCCTGCACCGGAACCATGGCTATGCTGCCCAGTCACTGCACGTTCACACACACACACGCACACATGCACACCCAGCAGGCACATTCACACACACACACACACGTGAGTACACACATGCCCACACACTAACATGCACGTGCACACTCATTCACACATATGCACGTGCAGCTGCACACTCCCACACACCACACACATATGCACACTGTTCTAGTATTTTCGCCATAAACATTTATGCCACACAATTAATTGGCTGTAAGATGATTTTGCTTTAGGAAAAAAGTAATGAAAAATAAAAAACGGTACATTAAAGAGGACACATGAGATGTGAAAAATTAGTAACAAAATTGGGAAGGCTTTATTGCCAAAATGAAAACACCCTGGCTTGGAAGTCGGCCGGGTATGTGTGACAGGGTGCTTCGTGGTGAGAGGCCACACAGCACGACCCAGTGTCGCAGTCCCTTCTCTTGACACAGAACTTCGTACCCAAACTAGCTTCAGATGGCTAACTCACACTGTTGTGTCAGCAGCCACCTCCCGTACATTTGGAAGGTGCCCCGGGACTAAGCCCCAGCATTTGGGCCACGAGTGGCCTCTGCTATTGGCCCACGACTGGACCCTCAGGCCACCCTCAGAGAACAAGTCCTTCAGATGAGCCGGCCTCCCTCACGCCTCCTCCTCCCTGGGCTGGTTGACTCCTTGCATGACCCCATTCGCAATAAAAAACCTGATGTTGCGATAGGAGAAAATTGCTCCCATTTGAAATAATTGAGCCGGTCCAGGCGGCGTCCGTCCACACAGGCGCTCTGCTTCTCTGTGTCATTTATGCTGCTGAGGGCCTGAGGGGCACAGCCTGCCTGCTGCCTCCCAGGGGGAGATTGATGGAGGCCCTGGGGTCGCGCAGCGCTCACCCAAACCCAGCCCTCCCTGCAGCTCCCCTGCTCCCTCCTTTTGGGGTGGCCCTGCAAGCTGCATTGAGGAAACCCCACTGCGTCTGGCCTCAATTTCCCGACATGTGCAACAACGGTGTGGACCCGTCACCCCCCAGGGCATTGACGGACTGATGCTCAAAGCCCAACTTCCCCGGCAGGGTCTGTGCACGGGGCCGGACAGGGGGAGATCTCAAAGTCAAGGACCCTTCAAAGGATGTGAAAGGAAATTCAACCCAGAGGGGCTGCACTTAGTAAGGACAGGCTGCTGCACAGAAGCCTCACCGCTATCAGGGTCACAGGTGACAGTGGCAGTTCCATCTTACACCTAGTACGTGAGCAGTGAGGGAGGGAGGGAGAGACAGACAGCCTGGGCAGGACCAAGGGTGGGCCCCCGCCAGCTCCAGCCCCCCCTGGCAAGGCGGAGGGCTTGACCTCTGCAGGGTTCCCAGCCCCTCCCCCACCCCATCATTCACCTCCTGGAACCTACTTCATGATGGGAGGCTGCAGCCTTATCTGTGACCTCCAAAAATTGCAAGTGGCAACAATAAGACGCAAACTTCGAATGCCCGATACGGTGGCTGTAAATTAGGGACCTCAGCCCCGAGGAATGGTACGAAGCAGCGGCAGCGGGGAAGTTGTCCACCATAGTGGTTTTGAGCAAGCAGGGTACAGGTTTCTTGACGCTGGGGACACCTGGGAGGGAAGTGTGCCTGCTCCTGGGGAGACAGATGGAAGGTGGGGGCCAACCAGCTTCCTGTAGAGAATTTCTCCTTCTGTTTTATTCCTACGAGAGTTGCTTATGCGATGATAAATGATTTCTTTGCTGATCTTAGGACCATGTTACAGTAAATGAGGACTGCAGCGCAAGCCTTGAGCCCCGACTCCCGGCCAGAGACAAGACATCAGGCCAGAAAGAATGCAAAGGCCACTCCAGGCTCACCGGTGCCCAGGACAGGAAGGGTAAGGCGGGGTTCCCGACAGTGTGCCAGGGCCAAGGGCACTGGCTCCGCGAGCTGGGCTCCCACTGGGGGCAGGGGCAGCATGGATAAAGGGAAGCCAGGTCCCTGCCCTCACCCCAGGACCCCTGTGGAGGGGACACCACAGGGGTGATGGGTGGGCACAGGGAGAGACACTTGAAAGGTTTGGTCTGGCAGAGAGGGCGGCAGGCGCCCAGGGTGGGGCACAGCATGACCAAATGCTCACAGCGTCTCACCAGGGCCAAGGGGGAGGGTACAGCACGCAAGGGGACAGGAAGACGGGCCACACGGGAAGTCACAGGGACTGGGGGAGGCGGCGGGCAGAGGCAGAGGCAGTCAGAGCCAGGGCGGGTTCTGGATGTCTCTCTGGCAGGTCACCTGGCAGCCAGGGAGGAGGACACCAGAGGGGCAGAGGGTGGGGAGAGAAGGGCCGCTGAGGCCATCAGGAGGCCGCTGGGACAGGTCTAGACCCAGGACAAAGAGGCAGGAGGGAGCACAAGGAAAGACAGTGGGGGTTTCTCCAGGAGCAGGTGAGCCCTGACTTCAGACCGAGTCCTGATCGAGCGTCTGAGCTCACTGCCAGGCCGCGGCAGGCCACAGGCACAGCTGTCCCAGCTGAGGGGAGGGGACAGCCATGAGCTGGGCCAAGCCCCGGGACCCGCTGGGTTTTGTGCCTAAGCAAGACGACCGCACCCCGGAAGGCCAGCAGCAGGCTCTGTGCAGCCGGTGGCCCCTAGCCAGGAGCCACCTCAGAAGTGGCCCCAGCTCACAGAGAGTTGTCACTCAGAGCAGCCTGTAGTCACCATTTTACAGACAGGGACACTGAGCTCGGTGCAGTCTGGTAGCTCTGACTCCACCTTCCAAACTCACAGAGTGGGTGGGAGCGGGCCTGGCGGGCACGTGTGTCCAGGCTCTGCCCCTTTCCTGTGGCCTGGTGCTCACGCCCCTCACCTCTTCCGCAGGCGGGCGGGTGGCAGGGGCCCAGTGCATGACCTGAGGCGGGCGGCCGGACAGTGCAGGCGCTGAGCTGGGACAGGGCCAGCTCAGGGAGCCCCGGTGGGGGGACTCCCACAGAGCGCCCCGAGCAGCTCAGGCATGGACACAGCCGTCAGTGTGTCAGGGACCGCCACCCTCACTCTCACTACTGACGTGTGAAAACCCTTACAGACCCCTCGGGACTGGCGGGGGCCGAGCCTGGGCAGGAGACCCGGCCTGCGTGGCCACTGGCCTCATCTGACGAGGGCTGGCCCCAGGCAGGTGTAGGGGGGAAGCCCACCAGGCTGGGGCTGGGGCTGGGGACCGAGGGCAGGTCTGCAGGGGGTCTCCATGCCCCTCGGGTCCCCCACAGCAGGTGCAGCTGCATAAGCCCAGAGGAGGGGCGGGGATCCTGGCGGGGCAGCCTGTCCCCAGCCTCCTGAGGGCCCAGCGGGGGGGGGGTCACTTCCCTCTGCTCCCCACCCCCACCCCAGGAGGGCGACAGGGAGAGCCCCCCTTCGATCCTGAGACGAAGCCGGCCGGAGCACCGCGGCCATGGGGCCGAGCCACAGAGGACCTCGAGGCACGTGCGGTTCCACGAGCCCCTGGAGGTGGCCGTCCACTGTAAGAGGGGAGCTCGGGGACCTGGCCTGGGGCTGCGTGGGGTGGGGGACACCATGTCCCGGGACCTCATGGAGAGCCATCCGGAAGGACCACGGCCAACGGTCTGCCTTCGCAGGCGTCACCCCAATAACCCCGGCCTGTGGGGTTAATCTGAACAGAGTGACGGTCAACAAAACAGCAACTGGCAGAAAAGGATATAACCAGGGCTGCCCAATGGTCACTGTCCTCTCGAGGAAAGGCCAGTGGGGCAGGCGTGCCTACTGCCCACCGACGCTCCCGTCCGTCGCTCTCGAAACCCCTCCCTGCCCCTCAGCCCCGCCCACCTCCTCCTTCGCTGCCCACCCCCCAAATTCTCCCAGCCCCCAGCCCAGGCCCCTGCTGACCCGCTGCCCCCAGAGCCCCCTCACCACCACCTCACTCCTGCCCCGGGCCTTCCCATGGGACACAGTCCGTGTCAGCTAGAGAAGCCGTGTAACAAATTACCACAGACTTAGCAGGTTCAAGCAACCCACATCTACTATCTGTGTTCCCACGGGCCGAGAACAGGCACGGTGTGTGGGGCTTTGCTCAGCATCTCACAAGGCGGCACCAAGGTGCCGGCCAGGCCGGGGTCTCATCCGAGGTGCGGGGCCTATGCCAAGCTCACGGGCTTATTTGCAGGATTGGTTTCCTTGCAGCTGTAGAATCCACAGCAGCTGCACCTTTGAGACCAGCGCCAGACTCTCTGACCACCAGGCCCTCTTTTTTAAAGAACTCACCTGATTGGGTCAGGCCCACCCAAGATAATCTCCCTTTGGATTGACTCGGGACTTTCATCACAGCCACAGAATCCTTCCCCTTTGCCATATGGTGTTGGGTAGAAATGAGCCGCAGCCTCCTACACTGAGGGGAGGGGGCCACGCACAGGCAAGAACACTGTGGGGGCGATCGTGGGGACAGCTTAGATGCTGCCTGCCACAGCCCCCTAGGGCTTCGTGAGTCCTGCCGAGTTGTGACAAGTGGCTCCCTGGGGGCCCCTCGGAGCTCCCACCTGCTCCTCCCACCCCGGGGTCCAGCCCTGTCCCCCACAGAGATATCACGTCTCCCACCGTCCCTGCCCAGGACTTCCTTCCCAGCAGGCCCGGGGGCAGGCTCTGCAGAGCGCCAGCCCCTGCGGCCCCTGGCCCACCACCCCTGCAGTCCCCCCAGGCTCCCTGCGGGGGTCACTACTCCCTGAGCTCCCACAGGCTGAGAGCAGTGCGCCTCAGGGCCCCCGTATTCTGGCGGCCTGACCCTGGAGCAGCGAGGCTGGGCAGACCCTTAGGTGGTATCGGGCAGATTCTACCACGTGGGCCTCCCATCAGCAAATCGTGGCGCTTGTGTCTGACACGGCCTGTCTCAGGGCCCTCTGGGTGGGCAAGTGAGGTGAGAAGCCCTGGGGGTGCTGGGCAGGCTCAGTGTGCCCCCAGCGGGGAGCCCACTCTCTGTTCTCCTTCCCAGACATCGCCGGCAGGGAGCCCACTGCCACCGCCAAGGGTAAGTTCTCAGCCCTCACCCCGCCTCCCCAGGGGCCCTTTCCCCGACCCCACATGATGTGTCTGTGGCCCCAGCCCCCAGGCCACCCTTAGACATTCTCCCCCAGAGGCCCGGGCAGGGCTGGGGGACCTCCACACCCATGGGCACTACGAAATCGCCCCAGGACCCCACCCCAATGGACAAAGTCACCGTGCTCTCCCTGGAGCCTCCTGCCAGCCCCACTGGGAGGGGGCCCTCGGGTCCTGCTGGGGGTTCGGGCTCACCCTGCCCCCCTCCGTCCCCAGCGCCTGGCCGGCACAGTGCCCGCGGCGTCCCCCTGCTCCTGCGGCTGTCCGTGTGCGCCCTGCTGGTGCTGGCGCTGGGCCTGTACTGCGGCCTCGAGGACATCCGGGCCTGGCTCCTCGTCCTCGTCCTGCGCCTCCGGCATGCAGCCCTCGCCTGCTGGCACTGCCTCCTCCAGCACTGACGGGCGCCAGGCCCTCGCCTCCAGCCCTGCGGCCCCCGGAGGGAAGGCCTGCAAGGGGGAGCCCAGAGTGGCTCTGAGCGCGCTGGCCTGGAGCAGCATAGAGTGAACCTGGGGGATGCAGGCAGCGCCCACTGGGAAAGGGGGCCCCAGGACTTGAGATCAGACATGGGGCCTGTGGCCTCGGGCTGGGGCAGGTGGCCCAGCCCCTGTGCTTTCACAGGCCGGACCTCCTGGCAGGCTCTGTTAGGAAAAGGACTCCACGATTGGGACCCACGTGCTTCCGCCTCCTGGGCCAGCCGTCTAGACGCCTCTCTGTGCCAGGGATGTGGCTGCATGTAGCCCTCAGGGACCGGGACCCCTCAAAGAAGGTGAAACCGGCCTTTTACCGCTTACGGCCTGCAGGGCCCACACCTCAAAACCCCATCAGGGGAGACAGGTCTGGCTGTGGGGGTGGGCGGCAGTCCCTCCCCAGACCCCCTGAAGGCCCCTGAAGCCGTGTGCAGAGCAGGGCCCCGGCACGCCCACCTTGGTGGTGGTGTTGGCACCCAGGTCTGACCCTGTCCTGCCTCCAGCCTGGGGACTCTCACCGCCCTACTTCCCAGAGAAATCTGAATGTGCCATCCATCGTCGCCTGTGGAAGCCACGTGGGAGTGGGGGTTGTGCAGGCCTGGGGTGGTGGACCCGTGGGGGGCAGCTCCTAGTTCCTGGAGGCTCGGGAACTCAAGGTACAAACACAAATGTAGTTTTTAATCTTAAAGGACGAGCAGATAAAACTCTGAAATGAAGTGAGCTGACACATGTCCAAATTAGAGGGGCCAGTATTTCCATTTTTATTTTAACTTTGAGAACTAGATACACTTAAGTCTACTTTCAGTTTAGCCAGAAGCAGAATTAAAACCAGGATGTCTGTTATCAAACAGCAGGGGATAAGCGATAGGGTGAAGGCTTGTCAGGAACCCTGGGGTCCCCGCTGCCTGCCCCTCCCGTCCAGTCCTGGAGGGGACCCCCTGCCCGCTGCAGCTCCTGTCCCAATAACCCGCCTCCCTTCATGGAAGCCTGGGGGTGCCGGTGCAGCTGGCCTGAGACAAGCCCAGGTGGCAGCAACAGCCCCGCTCCGTGAGTGACGCGTGCAGGAAGGTGGACGCAGGTCTCTGTAACCTGCCCCAGACCCGCTCCGGGCGACGCACAGGTGCGGACCCAAAGCTTCTGCGGACCCTCAGGCTCCAAAAGCCCACATCCTGCCCCTTCCCCTCCTCCAGGCCGGGGGGGCTGCTGCATGATTGGGGGACGAGGCAGAGCCTTTCCGCCCTCTGCCGGGAACAGATGAGGGGCCTTCAGGGGCCGGGGGACCAGGGCTGGCAGGCAGGGCCAGGGCGACCAGATGCGCTTGGGGACCTCGGGTTCTGTCGAACACTCCCCACCCCCACCCCGCTGCTGTGCCTGGAACTCTGGGCCAGGCCCTGGGGCCAGAGCGCCTCTGCCAGGCCAAGGCCCTCAGTCACCTGGCACCAACCTCCCCCAAA